GGATGAAATTGACGATGAATTGGGCCTTGGCAATCCAATATGACAAATCATGTATTCTATTCATTGTTTGAGGCTTTCCTGCCCTGTGTATATTATTAGCATAGTTGTGTACACTATGAACTAGCACTCTTAAGTTTTGATGTARGCAAATTTTGGAATACACAAGGAAAAGGTTGCGCTTAAAGAATATGAGARATGTTCCCTCCCTCCATTCCCACAAAAAATGCATAGCTCATGTCTATGGATGAAAAATGTTGAGACACAAATTAAGGAATACAAGTGTACAAGAAAAGGCCACACCAGCCTTTAAAGAATGTAACTAACAGCCAACCATTAGAACAAACTAACTAACAAACTGGACTAGTGGAGAGGCGAGTATAACAGAATTGTAACAGCAATACATAAATAAGGAAAGGAAGCTAGGAGGGGATTATCGATTTGGGATTATACAATCTCTCTCTCTCTCTCTCTCTCTCTCTCATTCAGGAGGCAAGCTCCTTCGAAAGAGTCCCTGAGTTAGGCATTTCCTAACAAGTTGGTATCAGAGCCAAGATGCCAAGCACAAGGTCATCCGCAATGGAGAACAGAGTCAACAACATGGAAGGAGAAAGGCAAAGAATATCGGCTGATGTCAAAGAAATTAAAGAAAGTTTTGCATCMTTGCTTGAACGACTGGCACAGGCACCACCTGTGCCGAATCAGGGCACTAGTCATCGAAGCGGATCAAGAACAACAAGAATCGAGTTTCCCATCTTCGCAGGGGGAGATTCCACATCCTGGCTTCTACGAACAGAAAGATACTTCGATTACCATGACACACAGGGACCAGATCATGTCCCATTAGCTTCTGCACACCTGGAAGGAGAGGTGATCGCCTGGTACCAGTGGTACCGACGACGRCACCCAAGAGCCACATGGGCAGACTTCACCGATGCCTTAACCATGCGATTTGGAGTCTCGGCCTTTGAGAACTATGATGAAAGYCTCGCTAAGCTACGACAGACCGGCTCTGTCCAAGATTATCATATGGCGTTCGAAAGATTAGYTGTGCGCATGCAAGGCTGGCCAGAAAATGCGCTTATCGGCAGTTTTGTTGGTGGACTCAGGGAAGAATTGCGGCTGGAGGTAAAAGCCATGTAGCCCACCACCGTTCTTTAAGCAACAGCATTAGCTCGACTACATGAAGACAAACTGAATCGGGCAAGAAGGATTAATCAACCTCTGGGAGTTGCAACCATACCAAGTATACCAAACCCAAAACCAGATATCTTGGGTAAACCGAAGCCCAGATCAGGAATAGGAATCACAGGCAATGACACCAACTCTGGTTCAAGCCCTGGCTCAGCCAAGAGGTTAACCTGGGTTGAGATGCAAGCCCGACAAGAAAAGGACCTTTGTTATGCATGTGGAGACAAATTCGGGCCAGGCCATCGCTGTAAGATCCCTCAAGTTTTCTTCCTTCAACTTGAAACCGAATATGTCGAGCAATCAACAGACATTGAAGAGCCAATGGACAACCAAGAATGGGGGCAATGCTCAAAGGAATACCCGAAAGTATCCCTGCAAGCTTTGACCTGTCTTGCTTCTTCTCAAACTATGAGAGTAACCRGACTGGTACAAGGGCACCATGTGTCAGTTCTGATAGACAATGGCAACACTCTCAATTTCATTACCCAAACATTGGTCAGACAACTAGGGATTCCGGTCCAACCATGTACARCCTTYCGGGTGCACGTAGCTAATGGGAGCAACCTGGTGTGCGACAGTACGTGCACAGAATTAAAGATGAAGATACAAGGACATGAGTTCGAGGTAGATCTGCACCCCCTGGAAATCAGTGAAGCATATGTAGTTCTCGGAGTCCAATGGTTAAGGCAACTAGGGCCGGTGATATGTGATTGGGCCTGCCTCACCATGGATTTTCAAGTGGGCAGCTCATAGGTGCATATTCAAKGGCAGTTGTCCAACGGTCCAGGACCCATTAGTCTCGCCTCCCTAAGGAAACAGGCAGTAGACCCAACCCACATCATATTAATGCAGATAGACTCCCACGGGAACGGCTCCATTCTAGCCCAAGGAAGCAAATTCGAAGAAGGCCACACACAACTACAGCAGCTACTTCARATGTTCTTAGTGATCTTCCAAGAACCTAAGGAATAGATTTCAAGTGGATACGCAAAGGGAATCACATCAAACCAGAGGCATTGGTGGTATGGTCAGGTCTCCCAATTGAGGATGCAACTTGGGAACCTTACTTCGATTTACAAAATAGATTTCCACATCTTGACCTTGAAGGCAAGGTCGCTTTCAAGGGAGGAGGGACTGTTGAGACACAAATAAAGGGAATACAAGTGTACAAGAAAAGGCCGCGCTAGCCTTTAAAGAATGTAACTAACAACCAACCACTAGAACAAGCTGGACAAGTGGAGAGGCGGGTATAACAAAATTGTAACAGTAATATATAAATAAAGAAAGGAAGCTAGGAGGAGATTATCGATCTGGGAATACAATCTCTCTCTCTCTCTCTCTCTCTCTCATTCAGAAGGCAGGCTCCCTCGAAAGAGTCCCTAAGTTAGGTAGTCCCTAACAAAAAATATGACAAATTTAAAAGAAGAATGTCTTAAGCAATCACCTCAGAATTTGTGGAGATTTCATAAAGTTCGGAGAAGAAATCGACAATATGGTCTGTAGTTGGCTTAATTTTCTACATGTGATCTACTGTTGCAGATTCCTAGACTGGAATAGTCGCTTGGTTTGATGGATCTCGAGCATAGTTGGTAGCCTATTGTATGACATATGTATAAGTGTAAAGTGGCCCGTGCAAAGTGCAGGCCGTGTTGTGCTGGCCCGTGTGTCATCACAGGCCATGCTGCCCTCCCCAATGAAAATTTTGGGGGTCGGCCCGGCATGGCCCACGGCCTAGGCCCATGCCATGCCATGCCGCGGGCCTAGGCCGGAGGGCTGTAGTCCAGGCTGTGGGCTTGGGCCGTGCCAGGCTGGGCCACAGGGCGGGCCTTGGGCTTGGGCCAAACCAAGGTAGACTGGTTTTTTTTTTTTTACTTTTATTGTGTTTTTTTTTTGAAATTTTTGATTGTTTTCTAAGTAAAAGTGTAAAACTAAAATATTTAATTTCCTTTGAACTTTGGAAACTATTTGAAAAATTAAGAAATGAGAAATCTAAGTTATCTAACACATAAATGAAAAAAAAAAAGTACTTAACCAAATAAGAATGATGGAATAACAAATTGAAAGAAAAATAGGAATTTTATTTCATTTAAATTTGAATGGTACAAATTACAAATACAATGATTGCTTGGATGAATGAAATATGAAAATAGAATAAATTAATAAAATATTAAAAATATAATATAGTTACAAATTGAAAATACAAAATTACGTTGTTAAAAAATAGATAAATTAAATATAATTAAAAAATTTACAATAATATGAAAAAAAATAAAAAAAAAAATCTATACAACTAGTCAACTTCATGAATCATGACTTTCATCATCTGCTTTAGGTGAAATATCCAGTGTAATATTATGCCCTCCTTTGTCTTGTAATCTATTTTCTGCATCTAACCAATCCTTAAAGCAGATGCACATCTCTATACTTTCATTGTTTATGCAGCTTCTGTTGTCATCTAACACCCTGGTACCTGCACTAAAATAAGACTCAGATGGAACTGTAGACACCGGAGGGATTAATAGATCACGTGCCATGGCAGCGAGAACTGGATAATTTTTTGAATGTTCACTCCACCGGGCTAAAATATCAAGATTATTTGTTCCCTCACCTAAACTAGAAAAAATTGCTTGTAAATAAAAATTAAATTCAATAAATGAACTTGTTGTAGAAGTAGCAGATTTCTGCCTTCTACTTATTAAAAAGTTTTTCTCTTCTACTACTGGCCTCAAGATCAGAAGTAGAAGATGTTGTACAAGTTGTAGGAATATTTCCTACTGTTTCATATTCATATAAATTATACATTTCAAATAACAAATTATTAACTTCTTTTTTTTATTTTCAAATTTAATATTCTTATTTTCACAATATGTTTCAAGTAAAATATCTAAACCACCTTTCCTAATCCTAAGGTCTAATATTGTAGCTAAACAATAAAGGGGATAAATGTTCTCCCAATATTTTTTAAATTTATTTTCTATTATTTCAACAATACATTTAAATTGTTGATTATTTCTATATTTAGAAAAACAATCACTAATTACCATTAATTGATAAGGTAAATTACAACTAATTGGATAATAAATACCTGATAATTCATTAGTTGCATCATAAAAATGTATTAAAAAATCTCTTATACAACATGCCATTTCCCAGTCTTGATCAAATATAATATCATTAGGCAATTTTGCATTATAAAAATCAATAAGAATTTGTTTATGAGAAATACAACTTTCTAAGATAGCATAGGTAGAATTCCACCTATGTTTTACATCTAATATAAAATGTTTATATTTTAAACCATAATTTTGACATAAATATTTAAATTCTTGTTTTCTTGCCCCTGTACTTTTAATATATATATAATACAATTTCTAATTTTAGAAATATGAGTAGAAACAATATTCAAGGTATCTTGAATATATAAATGTAAAATGTGACATGCACATTTGATATGAAATAATTTACCATTTAAACATGGCTTTAATTGAGATTTTAAAATATTTATTGCAAAATCATTATTGTTGGCATTATCAAATCCATAAGCATGTAAAGTATTTAAAATGCTTGTAGCAATAGTTGAGCCAGTATGTGGCCATTCAAGCCTAGTAAAACTTAAAATTCTTTTATTTAAAAGCTAATTTTCATGAGTAAAATGGTCGGTAACACAAATATAACTTATGTTAAATTTAAATGTCCAAACTTCAGAAGTAATTACAACTTTAGAATTAAGATTTGATAACAAATAAATTAAATTTTATTTATATGAATAAAAAATTTTTAAAGCATCCGATCTAACAGTTTTCCAATAAACTTTTTTATATTGTGGATTTACAGAATTATGCAACCATTTTTCAAGCTTAGTATCTTCAGCTAACATAAATGGTTGTTCTGTATGTACAATGTATTTTGCTAATTCTTGTCTCATGTTTCTTGTGAATATTTAAATGTACCAAAACTCCCCCTCCCAATTTGTGTTTGTGTCGTTTCTCTCCCTTCTTTTA